GACGCGCGCGCGCGCGCACACACACACACACACACACACACACACACACACACACTCTCAGACAACCACACAGACTATGAAAGAAGAAACAGTCCCATATGAGAGGAAACATTGCAAACACAATAAAAAAAAACTCACACAAACAGACAGATTTACATCAGAGAGTTGAATGAATCAGTCAGCCTAGATTCAGGTCCAGAGCCAGAATCAAAACCACAAAGGGCCCCAGAGTAAATCTCCGACAGATCCACGCCAAATTCCTCAGTGAAATCACAAAACTATTTACCTCCATGGCACTTCAGAGAATATTACTGGAAGCACTTCAATGCTAAAGCATTTCTGAAGTTTTTATTGCTAACAGTGACATGCTCGGTGGAAACAGCGGGAAGAAATGCTATTCAAAAGATTATTTAAAGCACACAGTAATCAACGCTTTCTGAAAATACCATGCTGTATAATGTAGTGGCTTCATTTCAATCAGGTCTCCCACTCAACATCTTAATTTCAAGCCTGTGTGGACCCAATTCTGTAACTGTCTCAAGTTAAGCAGACAATCTATTTGGAAATGAAGAATACACACACTTTCAGGGGATAAATATTACTAACAGTTGCAGGATGAACGCACTTGAATGCACACAAACACACAGAACAGAGAGACAAACAGATGCACAGACAGACAGACAGCCTGCATCTGCTGGAAGCCGCACTGCCCCTCATCCATCACAATCAGTCACACCCCAACACACACACACAGGCACACACTAAGCACACACATAACCAGACACACATCTTGGCAGCTTTATTATTAGCACCTCCTCTGTGTTTGGGATTCAGCCTAATGTTAAGACCGAGGGTGTGACAGGTTGTGTGTGTGTGTGTGAAGAGGGAGGGCAAACTAATAGAAACAAGGTCAGAATAATGAGAGGAGGAAGTGGGGAAGGGATGAACGTAAGCATGAGCCAACAGGCGAGAGAGACAGACTTACTGTATATTAAGACTTTCAATTCAGAGGAAACAGTAGGAACAGATTGTGTACTGATACTGATGAAGAATATTTGTATTACAGTGTTTATTCCTCACATATCATAACCTAAAGCATGGACACATTTATTCCAGTGCACACTGGCAAATGTTGTTTTTAGGGCTGAAATAATAAGTTTATTAATATCAAACATTTAATAGTCAAAAAAATGTAAATTGTCTAAGAAATGTATTAACCTAAAATGCTGATAACAGCTTCTCAAATGTGAGGTTTTGTTGGTTTTCTCAGTTTCTAATCTTTTTTAATTAAATATCTCTTGGTTCAGGACTGTTTGATGAACAAAGAAAAAGCACAAGACATAAATTTGGACATTTTTAGAGAGAAGAATTTATGCTAATTAAAAGCTAATTAAAAATAAGTATTAGTTGTTTTTTATATTTGCAGTGATGTTCATGTTATGTTGCAAGTACAAGTATAATATAAGTGCTCTAAAATAATTTAAAAACTAAAGGTTCAGGTTTAATGAAATTTTAATTCTAAATGTTGTTAAATGTTGTTGTTGGATAGCAGCTAATACAGTTTAGACAGGTAGAATAGACACTTAATAATAACTCCCAGTTGTTCCAGTGGAAATAGTGATGCTAATTCAAGCAGTAAAAAAACAATCATTATGCTGAGCTGCTTCAGGCGCATCGCACCTTGAATGTAAAGCAGGGATAGAGCTGAAGAAGAGCTAACTCAGCAACCTTTCCCAGGACTGACAAAGGTTACAGCATTAAATACCAGTAGCATGTGCAGTAGCATGATTAGTTTTCCCTATTAATCATTTATCTAATCATCTATTAAATGATTAACAGATCAGGTCTGACAATGCTGAGGTTTCCTAAAGCCCAAGGTGATTGTAGTCATCAAGTTGCTTGTTTTGTTTTGAAAATCCCCCAAAAGGTTCAATTTAAAATCACATAAAATAAAGAAAAGCTGCAAATTATTACATTTGAGAAGTTGGAAAAAGTAGTTTTGCTTAAAAATAGATCAATAATCAATTATCAAAATAGATGTGCTTCTGCTGATTAATCAATAAAAAATAATGTTTTCAGCTCGACTAGATACATTTGATAGACTCTGACTCAACAAATTTTTTTTAAGGTGTGAAAAGCTGTGAAGATGCAATAAGAATTCAACCCTCGACAGCCATCTTAGCCTACACAACATCCTCTCTCACCTGGTAATGGTCTGTATTGTAGAATTACTGATAGCCAGATAGCCAGATTAACAGATTAATTAAGGAGATGGAAAGGGGTTTCAGGCACAGTGAGAGACTGAAACTAGGCTGAGGTAAAACACAATGAGGGACAAGATGACACACAAAGAAAAAATAAATAGCTTGAAAAGGAAAAGCAGAGACGCAGAAAGAAGGGAAATTAGTGTTCAGTGTTAAAATTAAATATAATAAAGACAAAGACAGTGGGCAGGAGACAAATAAATTAGAGACAGCTGCAGAGAATAACATGCAGAAAAACTGCAAACAGAGGGAGAACTGAGGTGGGAAGGCGAGAGACAGATAGAGAGAGAAAATAACAAGA